TCTCTCTCTCTCTCTCTCTCTCTCTCTCTCTCTCTCTCTCTCTCTCTCTCTCTCTCTCTCTCGTTCACTCACACACACACACACACCAAGTTTTTAAGAGAAATAAAGAAGTGCTTTTTCTTTACATAAGTTGAAATTCAATCTAAACGATGTATGCTAAACATTGCTAACATAAGTAAACAAGTAAAATCTTTAGAGGCTACACCCTAATAACACTGCTGGGCAATGGGGAATTATCAACTCTCTATTGTAGAAACACAGGACTGAGTATCCTATTTGGCCAGCTATTTTGGAAGCCATTAAAAGCAACCTAGAGCCGGGCAGTAGTGGTGCACGCCATTAATCCCAACACTTGGGAGGCAGAGGCAGGCAGATTTCTGAGTTTGAGGCCAGCCTGGTCTACAGAGTGAGTTCCAGGACAGCCAGGGCTATACAGAGAAACCCTGTCTCGAAAAACCAAAAAAAAAAAAAAAAAAAAAAGCAACTTATACTAATTGTGGCAAAGCAAAAAACTATTCCAAACAAACTCAATGTTCATATACATAAAGGGAAGGGAGGAACTCTGAAACACAAAGAGCTGATGGGGTGTAGAACAGCACCTACTTCATGGAGGAGGGCCAGTGTTGTCTGCTTGAAGTTTCGCCCTCTACTGGCCATTAACCGATTCAGTGGCTTGCCATCTTTGCTCTGATACATGGCAACATCATAGCAAAACAGCATGCCACCTTTCAAAAGAAAGAAATTCAGAATGAGCATTCTCAATGAGAGAAAACTAGAAATTATATTCTCAGTAATCCACACTCAGCCAATTTGGATGAAGACCATAACAATGAAAATATAAATTATTGAGCAAATTACTATTTTTGAATATTGGTATCCAAAGAAGGGAAAAAAATTGGACATAAAAATTAACATTTAAAATATAATTTATTTACAAGTCATTTATAATTAACATTTATCAGTATAAATATCTACAAAAAAAGAAAAATTATAATTTGTATTTATTTCACATTTTACAAACCATTGGTACTATCTATTAAACTTTGTCTAAGTTTCATTAAATAAAAGTATGTGCACATATAATGTCAACTCCTGATAACATAAGGCCCTTAGTCCACGCCCACACATAAACAAGCTGAGCTCACACCTGCATCAGCCAAGTTTTGGTTGGGCCTCTTTTCCCTGCTTTTGTAACTGTGGTTCTCAATGAACTCCCAGCACCAGGTAGGTTCCAAGTCAATCAAAAGCCAAGGAAGCCAGTAAATTAATTTATGGTAACCCCAGGTAACTTGTGGAAATTTGGTTAATTCTGAGCCAACAAAAAGACACATTCAAGGACCAAGATGGCAACATATACAGATGAATATATTTCCAACATGTATTCTTAGTACTGACAGAGAAAAGTGCACACTCTATAAACAAAGCTCAGTAAACTGTTTTATACATGTCTAAGCAGAACCCAGATCAAAAAGCAAGTCATTATGTGCATCTCAGAAGCCTTTGGGCACACCTTCCTGTCATGCATCCAACTCGGCTGGCAGCACCACTTCTAGCAGCCCCTTTGCCTATCACGGTTCTTTTCATGAATGGAGTTAGAGTAGGAAGATGCCTCCACATCTCACTGCCTTCGCCCACCCTCCTTGTTTTGAGAATCATCTTGCTCTTACTGGCGTTGGAGTTTACTCATTCCCTCATCATATTCCTTCATACGAATATGCAACATTTGTGTATTCATTTTACTGAAAGCAGGCATCAAATAGCTCCTGAGTTAAACACTGGGCAAACAGTGCTGCTGTGGACTTATGTCTCTGGTAGCACAAATCAGGTTCAAAGTCTGTAAAAATAAAATCCCAAATGTAGGAATTTGTTCACAATCAATTTTAAAAATATCAGAACTTATATTCGCAACAGCTGTCCTAGTTACTGCGCCGACAGCCTTTGCATGGTGTCCATGCGGGATCGTTCCAAAACCCCCATGCTTAGCAAAATCTATGAATATTCAAGTCCCTTATATAAAATGACATAGAATTTGCATATAATCCAATCCACTTCCTCCTGCATTTCTTATGACCTCTATATTATTTATAAAGAACACAATGCAGATATGAGATGTGGCATAAACAGTTGCTGCACTGCATTGTTTGGGGACTAATTACAAGAAAAGGTCTGCTTATGTTCACAACAACTATAAATAAAAATATGTTTGATCTGAGGTTGGTTGGATCCTCAGGTGTAAAAATCCATGGGAACATAGGAGCAACTGTACTTGGTATTTTCCATGTTTTATCCATTCCACTGGTATGAAATGTTAGTTTCAACCCAGGTTTTTCTTGATGTTAAAGTTGACTATCTTCTTACATGCTCATCGGACATTTGAATACCTCTTTTAATCCTTTCGCACTGTGGGTTTAGTCATTTCCACCTGGTGCCCCTCTCTTCTCCATCTCCTACAGGAACCTCCTTCCCAACAACCATGAAGCCCCTCCTACTTTCCTGCTTCCCTTTTGTATGTGATCCAATGAGTTTAATTACAGTTCTTTGCTCCTGTGGAGGTAGGAGCTTATTCCTGGAGCAAGGGCAACTTATCCGTGGCTACACCACTGAAGAAAATGACCCATCCTCCCTGAGACACTTAGCTGTCATCAACAGTTTGTTCAAGAGCATGGTTGGGAAGGTCACAGACCCAAGGGAGAAACTTAGTACTAGTTTTGCTAAATGGTCCTGTTGTCAACGTGCCTTCTAACTACTCATGCTGCACCCACTGATTGTGCAGAGCCCATCTTTCATTGGAGGAACTTCCTACTGCAGCAAGCAATGGTTAATGCAGAAAACAAGGGATGATGGACTAAGTGTCAACTCAGGAAATCTGTAGTATTGCTATTAAAAAATTTTCATTACTTCACATTCTCAGGTGTCCTTTATCATATATCTACATCATAAATATCTCCAGTATATTTGTCTTTTTTTTAAAATTAGAGCTTTTAGATGTGGGATGATGGTTTAGTCAGTAGTATGCTTGCCACACAAATGTGAGAACATGAACTCGGTATCTAGTACCGACATAAAAGCAAGGTGTGGTGACACATGTTTGGAACCCATGCACTGGGCAGTCAGAGACAGGTAGTTCCCTGGGCCAACTTGTGTGCTGGTCCAGAGAGAGGCACACATTCAGATAATAAGGTAGAGGACCAAGGCAAACACACCCCCCATGTGTAAGGGCATACATGTGCATTCCGACATGTGTGCATACATGGACCACACAGCACAGACAGACATGCATTAAATACAAATAAACACATTAGAGCTTTTCATGATAGAGATCATGGCTTTTCTCCACATCACTGCTACAAATCAGTGACACAGTGACCATGTGTGCATGTTTCACACTGTATTCTTTTGCTCAGCCTGTGTACCATTGCACTAGCACTTAATTACCAATTATTGTGAGTTTGTAATAGTTTTCAACATCTGATAATGCATGTCCTCCTACATTGCTGCTGATGTTCTTCAAGACTGCCTTGGTTTAATTTTGAGTTTTTGTATTTCCACATAGTTTTTGGAATAAGAATGTCAACTGTCAAAAATGTATTGGACTGATTATGATTTACTTAAATCTATATATTAATTTTTAACTTAATTTTTACAATATGCAGCCTTCTAGCCCATAAACATCATCATACAACACTACATTTATTGTTTCTTCAATATTATTTCGGTAGTTGATAAAATACAGGTTATTGATTTGTTTTAGATTCTTAATATATATGATGTTATTATAGGTTTTAAATTTCATTACTTATTCATTATAGTATGTAAAATATACAACTGATTTTATATATGCATTTTTATGTCGGTCTATATGCAGCAAGCTACTGAAAGGAATTCAACTATTAATCCTAATATTTAACCGTGGACTATTTTGGATTGTCTATGAATATAATGATGTCATCTGCAAGTAATGAATGTTTTGTTTCTTTAATCCTTGCAGCTTTAATTTCTTCTCCTCAGCTGACTTCACTAGCCATGGCTTCTGGTACAATGCTGAGTAAGAATGGTGAAAATAGCATTCTTTTTTTTTTTTTTTCACTATCAGAAAGCAAGGCTGTCAGTATTTCAGGATTACCTATAAGTATGTGTTGGTGGTTGCTGGTTGTTCCTTATCAGAAAAAAAGTTTCCATCTACACATAATTTTTAATAAGAGTCTTTTGGGCATGATGAAGTTGTGCTAAATTTTTCAGATTTTTTTCCTACACATGTGAATCTACTTAAAGACTGAACAGCCTTTTAAATTAACATAATGAATTATATTGGCTTTGAAACATTAAATTATTTTTGTCTTATCCTTTATAAGTATTGCTTAAGTCAGCCTCCCTCCCACCCTATCTTTCCAACTGTGCTCACTGGGAAAGGGTGGTGCATAAGTTTCCTGTCTTGTAAACTCATGATCAAGTTCTGGTATTAATATTATGCTGGTCCATTGAAGAATAATTCTTTTTTTCTGTGTTCTTGCTATAGTCTGCATAAATTTAGTCAAGAAGCCACTTGTAGAATGCCTATTAGGTTAAAGAATGAATTTCCTGAGTAAATATCAAATTGTTTATATAACGTATTTCTCCTATCAGTTTTATATTTTAAGGACTTCTATAATTCACCTAAATTTTGAAGATTACTGATTAAAAGTTCTTTGTAGAGCTTCTCTTTGAGAACAGTGTATGGTCTACAGTAACATTTCCTTTCTTCTTCCTCATACGGGCCCTGTCAGCTTCCTGTATCTATTGATTTCATTAAATCTTCACTTTATGAGCATCTTTATGTCTTTGGTCAGATTTTTATGATCTTTTCTTGATTGCTATTCTTTCCTAAGCTCTTTTAAACAGAAGTTTGATTTCCTTTCCTTGTTTCTGACAAGGAAATTGTCCTGACAATTTTTTTTACATTGATACAAGCTAGAATTATTTGTAAAGAGATAGCTCTACTGAGATTCACCAGTAGCCAAGTCTGTAGGGTATTTTCTAATATTAATGATCAATGTGGGAGAGCTCAGCCCACTGTGGGCAGTGCTACCCCTAGGCTGGTAGTCTTGGGTCTAAATAGAAACCACAATGGTTAAGCCCCAGGAAGCAAGCCAGCATACAGTACCATAGCTGGTCTCTGCCTCAGTTCCTGCCTCCTGGTTCCTGTCCTGAGTTCCTGCTCTAATTTCTCTTGGTCATAGACTATAGACTGTAAAGTTAAATAAACCTTCCCTCCCCAAGTTTGCTTTTGGCCACAGCTTTTATCACAGCAACAGAAAGCAAAGTAAGACAATTTCCCTCTAAAAACAACTGTGGTAGCTCAGTGGGTAAAAGCAAGAGAACATGAATTTGGATTCTAACACATGCACATACACACACACACACATACACACACACACGCACACACACACACACACACACAATCATGACCATTAGTATACATGTAACTTTAACACTGTGGAGATGGAAACATAAGAAAGCCTGGGGCTTGCTAGCTACTAGCACAGATCCAAGTTCAGAGAGAAACTCTGTCTCAAAGGAATTAGGTGGAAAGTAATATATAAATGTATACTATGTTCTCCATTGTCTTCCACAGACACACACACACAGACACACACACACAGACACACACACAGTGTATTTTCACACACATATATCACTTGCTTATACTTATGTACACACACATACACAAACAAGAAGTCACAGAAAACCATTGTAGCTACATCCTACAAACTATTGTATGGTATCTTTATATGGTATCTAATAAAGTATCTTTATTGGTATATTCACTGCATAAAATAATTTACTCCACTGTGTCACTTCTGTGCATGTACATCATGTATTTTGATCATATTAATGCCATCACCTCTTAGCTCCTGCCTCCTCTTCGTACCCTTCCTCTACCTAAATAGTCTTCAACTTTCATGTCCTATTTTTAAAATCTAGATTGCAGACATGCAGTATATCCTTCTTAATCTGACTTATGTTGCTCCGTATAATGATATACAGTTTTCCTGCAAATGACATGATTTTTTTCATCTTCATGGAGGAATAAAATATTGATGTTTATAAACTATGATTTATTATTATTCCCATTATTATTACTGGTGGTAGTTGTAGAGGTGATGTTAATTTATCTGTTGATGGACACAGGCTGATCTGTGAACCATGTCTTAATAAATGTAAAAGTGCAAGTATACTATATTACATTCTAACTTTGATTACTTTTTGTAAAACCAACAAGTGGTACATGGGATCATGTGATAGTTCTAGTTCTCACCTTCTGGGAAACATCTATACTGACTTCCACAGTGGCTAAACTAATTTACAGTTTCAACAATAGTGTATGAATATCCCTTGTTCTCTATGTCTTTATCCTCATTTCTTGTTTCTTTTCTTGTAATGGCTCTTCTGACTGGGCTGACCTGGAATCTCAATGGAGTCATGATTTACATTTCCCTGACAACTAAGAATATTAAAACTTTTTCCATATATGTGTTAACCACTGGTTGTTCTTTTCTCCAACAAGACCTGACCTCTACCTGAGCCAGCTGCCAATCAAGTCCATAGTTAGAATAGTGAATATGCTCCAAGTGGGGAAAACAGTCTAAAATAGTCTTCCCATTTTGGAATTTGAAGCTATCTATTTGTCTTTGCTTCTACATTTTTTGAATTCCTTTTCAATTCAGTTGTTTGTTGTAACTTTTCCAACTCTGTGTAAATGTGAGCATCAGACTAGCAATGTCCTACCATGTAACCTATGACAATTATACATGGAATTACAAGACAGGACGCTAGAAACCTGCACTTCACTATAGTACAGTATTCTTACCTGCCAGGCCAGGTTTCAGTCCTGGTTGCTTGTTTGTTTCATACGTCTTCAATATAAAGTTGGGGATTCCTGCTACAGTCTTCCCTTGGTCTGAGCGGATGCCTCCTTTCAATGCAGAGTGATATATCCCACGGGGCATATTCACCATCTCTTGTCTCACAAGAGATGTAAAGAATTCTTCCAAAGCTAGAAGAAAATAAGAGGAGTTCAAAACCCAAATAAATGAGATACTCCAGAAGAGGTGCGTTCCTTCTTATCCGGCATGCCAGGCATTCAGCTGTTTCAGGTTGAACTTCACCAAGTGAAAAGTCAACCACTGAGTAGCATCTCTTCCATCAATGTTCCCAAACAAAGTGTCACACCGTTCAGGAATTCTTAGTTTTCCTTCTTAGTTCTTGGGATTCATTCTTACTTCTTCATTTCTTATATGTCATCTATTGGTGAGTTCTTGTGGCTCCACCTCCAGAGTCCTTCTTTTACAACGATTCTCAAGAAATCTTGCCTAGTTATTATCTTTACCCTTCCTCAAATATACTAACATAAAAGCTGCATCTTTAGTCTCTTCTTCCTCATGATCACCCTTGAGGCATCCTCTAGCCAGAAGCTGAAGTTGCCCTTTACTTTCTTAATACCATCCAATAGCTTTCAATGCACATACAAACCAAAACAAAAACTATACAGCCTCTGACCCCAAATAAGGAATCATCACGATTATCCCTCTGGCCTCATTTCTGCCATGTCCCAGATAGCCTAAATAGCCCCTTCTGTTCTTCAAAAATATACTCTTGATGTGCTCTAGAGGAACACGAGCTTCCTGGCTGTCTACCTGAAACACATTGCTTCTAGCTTTTCATGGAATGATTCCTCTTGTCCTTTGGATGTTTTTAGGGAGATCTGTTAGAACCAAGCCCATTCTGTAGCAATGTTATCACAAGTATTAAAAACTGTAAAACTCATTCCTTACTTCATTTGTGTACAAAGGAAGCTATGCTAATGAAGCTCACTTTGCTATTTGACATTGTACAAACTACTACAAAACAACATAAAAACGTAGAGTCAGAAGACAGGATGTCAAAAAACAATGGTAAGAGAGTGGGTTCATATTTGAGTGTCATTTCCTCAAGGACCACTAGAGGATGCTCAATACAGAAATAAAAACAAAGCATGAAAGCTAAACTAATCACAGTGGGAAAAACAAAAAAGGAAAACTACTGAACGTTCCTCCAGTAGGAAGAGAAAAACAAGGGTCCACCCAGCCACATCCAAATTTGACTAGGAATATTTTCATCTCGAGATCTCCTTTAAATGACCACGATTTAAAAATAAGTGCTCACTGGCACAATAATTAAGTGTCCTTTTATCTTTCTATATAATCTCCTGGATGCAACCAAACTTACCCATACAAAGTAAAGAGAGGGTCTGGGGACATGGCTCAGCTGGCAAAGTACTTGGTAGGGCAGGAGAACATAAATGTGATCCCCAACACCTATATAAGAAGGCAAGTGAGACAGCACACACATGGCCACTCCATCACTAGGGAGTCAGAGACAGAAGATGCCAGCAAATTGCTTACCAGACAGTCTACCTAAATGGCAAGGCCGAGATACAAGCAAAGAATTCTGCCTCAAAAAGTCAGGAAGAGAGCAATTGAAGAAGACAAGCAATGTCAATCTCTGGTGTATACACATACACACACATATATAGACATGTGCATACATCACACACACACAATGTCAATCTCTGGCCTATACACATGTACACACATGCATAGACATGCACATACAATATGCACACACACACTCATACACACACAATGTCAATCTCTAGTCTATACACATGCACACAAATACATAGGCAGGCACACATAAAACAGACACACAATGTCAACTCTGGTCTATATACATGCATGTACATACATAGACATACATATAACACACATACGTTATCAACTGCTAGTCTATACACATGCATGCACATATGTACACATGAACATATACACAAAGTATTAACCTCTGGTCTATTGACACACATACATAATCATGCACATACAACACACACACACACACACAGTACTGGGAACATCTGTTGGGGACAGTTTCTAATGACTCCTCCACACTTACCCTCTACCATTCTCAACACTGTTCTGTAGCCTCCAGAACTAAGCTTTAAGAAATGCATCAAAAGATTGCTCATTGTGTCAACCAATGAAAGGCATTGGCAGGAGATCAAAGAGTGAAAACATGGTGAAGTTGGGGAACTTATTTCATAGACACTGTCCAACAGGTTACTACAGGTTACCTACACCCTTATTCAGAAGGCTGTCTCCCCTTAGGCAGCTCTATTTGTGACACACATGTCTTTTACCCTCCCTACACAGGCCAGAAGACCTTAGTTATTCTCTGATGATTCATTATGTCTAATGAATTTCCATAAACTTTGCAAACACAATTATAAAGAACCACTTTATTAAACTTTCTTCAATGATTCCATTGAGCATGAAGCCCTTTTTGTAATGACCTTCATGACTATAACATTTAAACAAATGAATGCTATGTAATCACAGACTATTCCAATTCCTGAACGATGTGGTTCAGGTATGACTGCTCCAAGCTCAGTCTGAGCACAGACTTTTTGAAATGTGTGAGTTATGTGATTGTGAAGACAGGGGAGCTTAGGTAAGAGAGAATGATTTCATGCTTCGTCAGGAAGAACTGTGTTCTGACAAAGGGGACAAGCACATATGTCAAAAGAGAAGATATACTTGCAAGTACACTGTTCTAGCAACAGAAAGCTGTATACTTATCTAGCTCTGTGGTCAATAAAAGCCTCTCAACTCCCTCTTGCAGCTGTGAGGTAAGGATAAGATGCATGCCCCTGAATGGAACCACTACAGAGAACACCATCTTTCCCAAGCAATTGAGCCAGTAACCAGCATTCTTCCTGCTCTCTGCAGCCTTGGCCTTGGCCTATTCCTTAAATACAACCAAGTAAGAATTTAAAAAGATGAAAATCTATACACAACAAGGTGAGCATGTTAACATTGCAGTTATATCTAATGGAATACCATCCAACAACTGAAAAAAATAAAGTTAGCATAGGGAACTAAAGATAAGGATCTTAAACATACTATGTGAAATGAAAAAATAAAAATCTAAGTCTAAAAGTTCACAAACTCAGAGTATCTGGAGAAATCCAAACAAGACTATAGTACAAGCAATTTTAAGCTAGAATTTTAAAAGGCCAGTACTGGGGGCTGGAGAGATGGCTTCATGGTTAAGAATACATACTACTTTTGTAGAAGACCAGAGTTCAATTCCCAGCACCCACATGTCAGCTCACAACTATATGTAACTCCAGTCCCAGGAAATTTGATACCTTCTTCTGTCCTCCATGGGTACCAGGTGCACACAGACACAATGTACTTATATACATCTAGGCAAAGCACCAACACAGGTAAAATAAAAAAAATAGTTTAAGAAAAGGAATAGTTAAGAAGAAAAGAAAGAAGAAGGAGAAGAAAGAGGAGAAGGAGGAGGAAGAGGAAAAAGAAGAGGAACGAGGAGAAGAAGGAGAAGAAGAAGAAGAAGAAGAAGAAGAAGAAGAGGAGGAGGAGGAGGAGGAGGAGGAGGAGGAGGAGCAGGAGGAGGAGCAGGAGCAGGAGGAGGGAGGGGAAAGGGAGGGGGAGAGAGGGGGGAGGGGAGTGGGAGGAGGAGGAAACGATTCACATGAGAGGCAGGCTATGTTCCCCTTTTCAGAGCAATGACTTTACCACCATCAGTAACTAGTGACTACCATACATCATCCATCCAGTATCCTCCTAGTCTCTGTTCCCATGGCTGCAATCTATGTCCTTGCTGTTTGTCCTTGCTCCATTAATCAGAAAAAGTGAGCACAGAACAATGTAAAACTGTCTTTGGTGATGGTTTGCCAGACATAGTTATACCTACAAACCCAACTTTACTCCAATAGCCAGGTTTCCAAAAACAAATCAAAACAAACAAACAAACAAACAACAACAAAACAACAGTAGAGTGCTGTGGCCATCGAGTACAAACACTAGCACAGAGGTACCAATCCTCAAAGATCTTAGTAGCAACCTTTTCCTCTTCCCTAGGCAGTCATGCCCTCCCTCTGGCCAGAAGGCTGCAGAAATCAGCAAAGGACATAAAGTCATTTTAAAACCCCAAGAGAGCTATTGGCCATGGCTGTTTCAGTATACTGGGGGAATTTGTACATCAAAGCAGTTTCCTACTCCTGCTGGCAATTAACCCTGGAGAGACTAAAGGCTCCCTGGGAACTATGAGATAGGAAGTATGGAGAAGAAAGTAACAGTGAAGGGGTCTTTAAGGCTTGTAAAAAGAAGAAATGAAATCATGGTATCTTTGGCTATGCTTCATTGTTCAATTTGTCCGACTCCAGTGGAGGAGCTGGGGAAGGACTGAAGGAGCTGAAAGGGTTTGAAGCTCCATAGGAAGAACAAGAATATCAACTAACAAGACACTCCCCTCCCCCTACAAGAGCTCCCAGGGACTAAACCACCAACCACATGGAGGGACTCCTATGTGGCAGAGGATGGCCTTATCTGTTATCAATGGGAGGCCCTTAGTCCTGTGGAGGCTTGATGCCGCAGCATAGGATAATGCCAGAGCAGTGAGGCAGGAGTGGATAGGTGAGTGGGGGAGCAACCTCATAGAGGCAGGGGTAAGGGGGATGAGAAGGAGGATAACATTTAAAATGTAAATAAATAAAATAACCATTGAAAGAAAGAAAGAAAGAAAGAAAGGAAGGAAGGAAGGAAGGAAGGAAGGAAGGAAGGAAGGAAGGAAGGAAGGAAGGAAAGAGTCAGGGACAGACAGGAGTTCTGTCTACAAATAAAAGATACACACTGGGCTAAATTTCCAGGGAATCTCTACTTGTCTTGAAATCAAGGGGAAAAAAAGATATTAACATTACAAATTACTATAATCACATATAACAATGACTATGTTGAGAAGCTATAACAACATTTCTTTTATTGAACCAGATTTTCAAACCTTAAGTGTTTGCATGTATACATGTTCAAGGCAGAATTTGAACAAAAAAAAGCAAAATATTAGCTAACACTGAAGAGCTTCCAATCCTCAAGGATTATCTATGGAAATTTTAAGGAATGTTTAATAACCAGAAGATGAATTTTAAATAATATAAAGTTTTAATCACAGCCCATAACCCATATCTCAGTTATCACAATGGATCATCTATGGAATTTTTAAGAAATTTTTTAATAACCAGGAGATAAATTTTAAATAATATAAAACTTTAATCGCGGCCCATAGTCCATATCTCGGCTGTAATCACCTACTGTTTCTTAGGTAAGACTTAAATAGAGGCCGTGAAAGTTTTCTATGTGTGAACACCTCACACATGCACAGCATGCCTCTTAAAGACTAACAGTCTAATACACTTTATATCAAAACCAATGAGCACATAATTTGATCCTTAAAATTATTTAGAAGGAGAAGAAGAAGAAGGAGGAGGAGAAGGAGAAGGAGAAGAAGAGGACGACGACGACGACGACATGGGCTCACCATGTAGCCCAGGATGGCCTGGAACTCAACGCATAGACCAGGTAAGCCTCAAATCCAACATGTCTGTCTAAAGTCTAACCCTGGTCTAGCCCATGACCTTCTGCTTCTGCCTCATCAGCACACCCCACCTGTGTGTGTCAGTGAACACATCTTGATCCATTGTTCAAATTAATTAATCTACTTTTGTATAATATACAAATAATAGAGCCATTAATTTATAGCTCTCAAACTTGTGATTCATATACTTTATAGAAAGAACAAATTGGTCTGGAGAGATGCCTCAGCAGGTAAGAGTTCTTGTTCTTGAAGAGGACCTGAGTTCTATTCCCTGCACCCATGTGGCAGCTCATAATTGTCTGTAATACCTCCCAGAGGCACCAGCCATCCCCATGGCACACAGAGATACATGCAAGCAAAACACCCAAACATATAAAATAACAAAATAAAATATGTAAAAGAAAGAACAGACAAGAGTCTGGCATAACTGTCCCTGAGAGGCTCACTTCACCCAACAGTCAAAGGGAAGAGATGCAGAGACTCTACAAAACAACAGATGGATCTTGAATCATCTTATGGAATAGCTGAGAGAAAGACTGAGGATCCCCAAAGGATTGGGTCTCCACAGGAAGACAGTCACCTAACCCTTGGGTGCCCCCAGAGACTGAATCACCAAAGCGCTAGGGCCCCTGAACATATGTAACAGATGAGCAGGTTAGTCTTCATGAAGGTTCCCCCAAACAACTGGGAGCAGGGACTGCCCCTGAATCCCACCCCCTAAATGGACAGCCTTGACTGGCCTCAGTGGGAGAGGATCTGCCTAGTCCTCGGCAGCAACATGATGTGCTGGGGAGGGCTGGGAGGGAGTTAACACTCACAGGAGGTCTTCTCCTCGAAAGGGGAAAGAAGGGGTACTTGGAGGAGAGGAAAGGCTGATATTGGGTTATAAGAGAATAAATAAATAAATAAATTTAATTTAAAAAAGAAAATAAATTTATAATGATGAAACCACAAGTAAATATCTCAAAAGTTGATGTTTTTCACCAGCTTTTAACAAAGAGGCATTAATTAAAGCAGTGGCTTGAAGTTCCACTGTAAATCTGTTTTATACAGTAACCAGCTTTTGAAATGAATTCTAGTTCTCATTGAGAACAATTATATTCAGCTAAATGTTCCTGTCGTCTAATGGTTTTATGATGGTTAGAACACCGTATTACCTAAGACTGTCTCTCTAGAACGCACAGGTACACTTAGCATTTCAGCTAGAAAGTATCTATATGAGAGTAAATGACAGCATGTGCACACCAAACAACAAACAAAAAGCTCCCACAATCTACCAGACAGGCAAACCCACTGGAAAATTCCAGGCCTGTGGTTGTCAAATAGGAGTCACCTGGTAAAACCGAAGGCGCAGTGATGGGCAACAGTCTGAGATAGCAAGAACCAGGAATGGAAAGGTCCACAGATTCCTCTTCATCCAGCTCATCAGGAACAGGCATTTCGGGCCTTATCTGAAATAAGTAATGATATGTCAGAGAAAATGAAAACAAGACGTGTAACATGTATTCTTGGTTGACTCTATGTTAAGATTTAAAAATTGTCTTAGACATAATCACTCTTCAATATCAAAAAACAATTTAAATAAAATTTTAAAAATACCTTCATGTAACAGCAGGTGTGGTGGTGCCCAACTTTAATCCCAGCACTTGGGAGACAAAGGCAGATGGATCTCTGCGTGTTCAAGGCCAGTCTAGTCTACATAGTGAATTCTAGGACAGCCACAGAGCGACTCTGCCTCAGTCTTCCCTCACACACTCGTGTCTCAAACTGACTGAATGGTAAATTCATTTTATTTGGTATGATCTTGGTTCCATTTAATGAACTTACAGCAATACAATAAGAACATCACCATAAGTCAGCATAAGGAATTGTTATAGAAAACGAATAAAACATCACCCAGTAAAGAAAGATGACAACACTGACATATTCAATGTGTTCAACTATTGTGGTTTATAGTTAAATATTTTATTTATATGACTTTTACTTTAATTTGCGATTTTAGAGGCTAGAGAGATGGCTCAGGAGAAAAGAGCAATTGTTTTCCTTCCAGAGGCTCTGAGTTTAGATCCCAGCCCCATGCTGGGCAGCTCACCACTGTTTATAACTCTAGCTTTTAGCATTCCAACATATTCTTCTGGCCTCCATGGCTGCATGCACATGTATCACACACATACATGCATGCACACAAATATTAAATTTAAATTTTTAAAAATTGTTATTCCAACTATATCTCTAAGATAAAGTTTCAAATCTTCTAGTGACAAGATTGTGACATGACAAATGCTTTACTTGACATTCTTTGGACTTAGCAATGTTGCTACAGAAAAGAACACTAAAATCAGTAATGAGTAGCTTTGCTTTACCGTGCTTAATTTGCATTTTGAAGTTTTTTTCAGTTGCTTTGTGATTACTTCGCTTTGTGTGAACCAAAATAAGAATGTAAGATTAGCACTATCATATTTTCTATAACATAATGGTAAGGCAATTAATTAAAATTTTAATACTTTCAGTGACACACCATCATAATGTCCATGCAGAGATAATTAACCATTAGGGTATGGAATCAAAATACAGAAAAGTGGTTGCTATAACCATAAAGTGCCAGAACCTAGTCGTTACCATTTGCCTGTCTCCGGGAGTTATTTTTAGAAATAATTAACAATTCCTGCAGACTGCCTTCTTCATGGGTCCCCAAAGCACCATTTCATTAGCAACTGCACTGAGTCAGGAGTCTTCAGAAGGATAAAAGAAAACAGACAGCAAATGCTCCTCTTATGTATAATAATCTGACTCCACTGAAGCCGCTCAGCCATAAGGAGAGTTATCTCCACTACTTGAAGCAACTTAACCTCCTGAGTACTCAAGACAAGACATCATTTAGATTCAACACTGAGAACTTAGCTCTAAGAGGACTAAGCCAGCCACACTTCAGAAATAACAATTGGGCAGACTGCAGACAGGGTATGAGAACATTAGTTTACGATACTACATTATCAGAGATACCCTGGCACAAACAGAGCCTTTAGTTCTGTCAGGCAGGGTTTCCCAAGTGTCTCTGGCTTATAGTTGCAATTTTCTAAGTCTACTATGATTGAGAACTGTCTTTGAAATTCTAATCAGTATTAGAGCCTCCTGATTCCTGAAAATTAGATGAATAAGAGAGCTAGCTCGCTGTCACTCTGACGTGCTTCTTGGTTTTAAGCATCAAGAATGTCTGGGAAACCAGTAAAATGATTTCCATAAAGCCCAGGAATTCTAATCCTACGTATATAACAAAAATAGACAAAAGGCTATGCTCATACAAAGATTTATATACAAATGTTCAAGAAGCATTATTCGTTATAGCTCCCAAATATAAGGGCACTCAAATATTCATCAGCTTATGAATTAATAAGCAGACTGAAGTAAATCCATGCAATAGAACATAACTCAATCATGAAAAGCAATAAAATAAAATGTTAAAGAGAAAAGAAATGATAAAGGGGATCAAGGGGTGGCTCAGTGGGTTAAGGCTACAAAGACCTGAGTTTGATCCCTGAGACCCATAAAGTGAAAGAAAAAACTGACTTGTCCTGTGATATCTACACATGTGCCAACAAACATGTGCCCTTCTCTTCCAGATATACCTGATAAATAAATGCATGAAAAACAATGATCAAAAATGAATTTGATGAAATAACAGAAATAACACTGAGAATTTAAAGAATTGATGAAAAAAGAATTGGCCCTCTGAAAGGATAAATAGCATTGACAAAGATGTCACCAAGCAAATCAGAAGAGACAGAAAGAAGAAACTAGGAGACGCAGAGGGAAAGCAATAGATACCACTGAAACCCAGAGAAAGCTTTGAAAAAAAATTCTAATAAATTGAAGAATGTGGAAGAAATACATAAATTTCTACATACATATCATATACAGAAATTAACTAAAGAAGACGAAAAAATGAGATTGACGCCTCAATAAAGAATCTCCCAACAGAGAGTCAACCCCTGATACTATTAATGATACTCTGTTATGCTTGCAGACAGCCTAACTGTCTTCTGAGAGCCTTCATCCAGCAGCTGTTGGAAACAGATGCACTGAACAATAGGTGGAGTTATAAGAGTCCTGTGGAAGAGTGGGTGAAAGGATTAAGGGAGCTGGAGGAGTCAAGTACACCACAAGAAGACCTACAGAGTCAACTATCTTGGGCCCATGAGGGCTCATAGAGACTGAACCATCAACCAAAGAGCATGTGTGGGCTGGACCTAGACCCCCCAACACATTTGTAGCAAATGTATAGCTTGGTCTTCATGTAGGTCCCTTACCAATTGGAGCTGGGGCTGTCTCTGACACTGTTACACGCCTTTGGCTCCCTTTCCCCTAGTTAGACTGCCCTGCCTGGCTTCAGTGGTAAAGGATGCTTCTAGTCCAGCTGTGATTTGATGTTCCAGGGTGAGTTGGTACCCATGGTGTGGGGTGTCTAAGGATAAGGGCATGGAAGAATGGGGGTAGGGTGTGAGGAGAGGAGGGAGAAGGGCTGCAATCAGGCTGTACGATGAATTTAAAAAAGGAATCTCCCAACAAAGGAACCTCCAGGACTGGAGTGATTCATTTTCTTTTAAATAGCACCAATACTTCTTAAACTACTCCACAAAACAGAAAAAGACTGTTTGCAAACTCATGATATGAAGATAGCATTAAATTGATACCAAAACCAGATAAGAAAACAAGAAAAACAATAATAAGCCAATTTCCTTGGTAACCATAAATGTAAAACACATCTATAAAACACCTGCAATCTAATTCAATACACCAAAGGGATTAAACATTATAACGAAACTCTATGACCAAGCTGGGTTCACAGGAATACAGGGTGGTTCAAAACATTCTGTTCACATAAAAAATAATTCAACACATAAAAATATAGTAAACAGGGGCTGGAGATCACCTGTTGCCCTGGAAGACCCAGATTTGATCCCCAAAACACATCCAGTGGCTCACATCCATCTGTAACCCCATTTCCAGGGAATCCACCCAACAAGCACGCATGTGGTGCACATATGTGCAAGCAAAACGTTTATACATGTAAGCTAAGACAAATAAATTTTCTGAAAATTTGTAAAAATATAGCACATAAAAAAATCCCAAGAAAAAAAATCCGATAATTACTACATGTAGAAAATTTTTCACAAAATTAAATACCCCATCATTCAAAACTCCCACCCTGCAGAAATAAGAGACAGAATGCCTCAAGACAATGAAAGTTATAGACAGAAAATTACAGTCAACTTTATATTGAATAAGGAAAAACAAAAGCATTTTTTCTCGAACTGGGAAGAAGACAAGGTTCTCTATAATATCTGCTATCATTCAATCTAGTACTTGAAACCATAGCCAAATCAATAAGACAAGAGAAAGACGGAAAAGGAACATAGCAGGAGAAGAAGAAATAAATTATTCACATTTATACACAATACTATGTTTTAAAAACCTAAAGATTCCACCAGAAAAACATCTTAAATCTGGCATATTTTTAGAAAACTAGCAATATAAAAAGAATGCAATAGTTTTTTAAATGACAAATATAATGAGAAATAAACCAGGAAAACAATGTCATTCACAGTACCCATTTCCTAAGCAAGATACCTAGGAATAATCTAACCAAAGAAGTAAAGATATATAAAGCATTAAAGAAGATGGAAAGACATCCAATGTTTACAGATCATTAAAATTAATATTTTTCAAAACAGCCACGTTACCAAAAGGAATAGAGATTCTGGGAAATCCTCATCAAAAGTCTAATCACATTCTTCACCGAAAGAGAAAATAATAATCCTAAAATTCATATTCAAGGACAAGAAATCCCAATAAGCCAAAGTAATCTTGAGGACAGAAGAGGAATGGAGGGGAAATTATTATAAATTATACTATAGGACCATAAAAACAAACATAGCTTAATATTGACACACAAAAAAAGAACCAATGAAAAATAACAGAACATATAACTAATATATATAACTAAATATACCTAGTTTCAATAGAATGGCTAAAAACATGTATTAGAGAAAAGTCTCCTCAACAATAACAACAACAAAAAAAGAGGATTTGCATATCCACAAAGAACACTGAAACTAGACCATTATTTCTGGCTCACTATTTACAATAAAATAATCAACACAAAACTGATTAAAAACCTTAACGTAAGAATCGAGAGGCTGAAACTAATGTAGGGGAATACTTAAAGGGATAGGCACAGGCAACAGCCCTTTTGCCTTGGGAGGTAAAGGATCTCTTTTTAAAGAGAGTCTCATATAGCTCAGGCTAGCCTCCAACTTGCTATGTAGCTGAGCCTGAGATTGAGTTCCCGCTTCTCCTTTTGCTGCTTCCCAAGTCTGGATTACAGGCAAAGCACTGTTTTTATTTGCATGGGTATTCTGCTTGCATGTATGAGTGTACCACTTGCATGAGA